AACCCTGAAACAATTTCTGGACTGATCAAAGACAAGGCACGGCTAGCTCACAGGTTGCTCGAACCCTGGAACAACCTCTGGGCGGAACTAAATCAGGACACGGCTAACTCACAGATCGAACCCTGAAACAACCTCTGGGCTGTTCAAAGCCAGGATACGGCCAACTCACAGATTAAATTGGAATTTAGGTTTTGAGAATAGAAAAAAAAGCAGAGAACGCGGAGAAAAACCTTTAGATTCACGATAAATATTGAAAGCATTGTATCGATCTCCAATACAACATAGCGAAAAGATAAAACTACGACTCCATAATAATGTTTCTTGGATATTTTTGAAAATACTTTAGTTTAGTAGTATTGAGGTATTTGCGCGAAGCAAGTGATGAAAGGAAGAGGGGTTTACGGAGACCCTAAGAATCCCTACCCCCCTCCTCCCTCCTCCGTTACACACACCATGAATACTCTTCGCTGAAATCAGTTAAGATCGTTATATGGATATAGTGATATCAGCAAACTCAAAACCATAGGAAATTTTATATGAAAACTGATGAAAAGCTCTCTGACTAGCCACTTAGCGGATACTCTATTACTTGATTCTCATGTGCATTTGCAGGTGTATCATTACCAGATTTTCTTAACCCGACTTCAAAATAAAATCAAAATTTTACAGATTTCATCTGATTTAATAACATCCTCAATTACTCCGCCACATAGATTGGGCACCGTGTGCCATTAAAGGCAGACGCACCGCGGGCTTTTCCGTATCATAATTTTGCTCTAGGGAAATCGAAGATGGAACTTAAAAAGTTTTAGTTCCTGAAAGTATCGAAAAGAGCCTAGAAATTTGGTCTTTAATTGCCTCAGGAACGTTTTCCTATTTCCTTTTTTATCTTACTTCAATTATCTTGCTACATTATCACGATAAGGAGCGGACGCAAATACAGGCTTTTAATTCATTAACCAAAAAGATACTCAACACAACATTATGTCTAGTGAGTCTCCGATGCCATAATCAAATTGAATTGGATAAAAATGGGTGGACAGCCCTAAAACTGTTGCTAGTTTAGAGATTGCAAACGGAAAAAGGGTGCTGAAATTACGGAGAAAAATGGACTCCATGGAGTTGGGCGTTTTGACGCTCAATAGTCTGTCAAATAAGAAAATTGAACAGGACTAAGCTCTGAAAAGCAATCGTATTTCTTGTCGTTTTGTTGTTTATAAACTGATAACTGATAGAATGGAAATGTAGAATGAATAGTTTAACCACTGCCACTGCCACTGCCACTGCCACTGCCACTGCCACTGCCACTGCCACAGCCACTGCCACTGCCACTGCCACTGCCGCTGCCGCTGCTTTGCTGCTGCTACTGCTACTGCTACTGCTGCTGCTACTGTTACTGCTGCTGCTACTGCTGCTGCTACTGCTGCTGCTACTGCTACTGCTGCTGCTACTGCTACTGCTGCTGCTACTGCTGCTGCTACTGCTGCTGCTACTGCTACTGCTGCTGCTACTGCTACTGCTACTGCTGCTGCTACTACTACTGCTGCTGCTACTGCTACTGCTACTGCTATTTTTATTACACATACAACCCCAAAATAAGCGCCAGTCACTGGAGAAACTATGAAAAATAGAAATCCACCGCCTTGATTTGGCCTAAACCAAAAGAATTACTTTATGGACTTGGGTGGGGGCAAAAATGACGTCATTCTATTGACCTTCTTTACTATGACGTCACTGCTYGTTTATGTGGGGGATAGAATCGCCAAATCCAATAGAACTTTCAACAAAATTTGCTCCTAGCGAAACAGTTTAATCTTAAATGGCTTGGTTTTCAGATAAAATATGTGTTAATATGTACTAAAAAATATTCTGAGTGTTTGCTGGCTATTCTACTTCTCTTCGTGGATTGATACGGGTTTTAGAACAATTTTYGGTGAATTTGCGTTGATTTGACCCCGTCTGTTGACCATGATCCTTTGCGTTTAGACAGATTGTTTTGATGTGACATCATAGTGAAATAGGGCAATTGAATTTTTGTTTTACTATTTAATATTGACAATTATTGTTTTGCTTAATCTGCCCTGAGGAAACTCCAAATGTAAACGGGGACTTAGTAAAACGAATAAAGGAAATAGATCAGTGATTATTTATTATCTTAATATACTTATCTTAATATAACCCGAAGGGTGCGTTGGACAGCCGGGTAATAGCCGGATTTGGAGGATAAACATGAGAGCATCTCAACATGCTTTATTTTATATTTTGTAAAGATAACATACTTAGGAAAGCGATTTTGAATACCAAATACAAGGATACCGACTTATAGTCTCGCGGTTCTGAGTAGTTACAGCAGTAGGCTTCGAATTTTCAAGTATTCTTTCTTCTTTCTCACAGAGTGAAAGATTCAAGTATTTTTCCTCCAGTTTCTCCGCTGCTCCTCTTTCCGTAAAAACCTAACACGGGCTAAATTCTAATTCGATCTGTGAGATGCCGTGCACTGACTTAGATAAACCCTGAGGTGTTCTTTGATTAAATTAAGTTAGATTCTTATTTCTCGAGGGCTTTTACTAAGCTAAGCTGTAAGATACAGAAGCGCCGTGCATGGTCGACTTGCATAAGGTAATTCAACGTTTTCTTTCTTCCTTTATTTTTTTCCGTTTTGTAAAAACCCCTGATTTTTATGGCTTTTTGAGTTTCAATCCTACATTGATTCATTTTCCGTTTATACTAGAAAAAAATACATATAAGAAACAGTCCTTATAGAAACACGGAAGTCAAGTGGAATTGATGTACGTAGCCAACTGACTTTTGCTTCAATAATGTAGTTTATATTCTAATCAGTTAAGAATAAGTCCCGCTGCGAAAAGTTAATAGAGAGTTCAAGATTCTCGTTTACGGCAAACGTGAAACGTCAGTTGACCATTAAAATATTCTTTAAAATTAGTGAAAAGGAATCGCAAAAATCTCCAAGTAGTAGATAACAAAAGAATGCTTCTCTTTGTCGAGAAGGTTTGCAAAAGATAAAGTGGAATGTAGGGAAACGATGAAAACATGGTCACGTTTGCCGTTTGCGGAAAGGAAAAACGGGAATCTTTACATTTGTTATATATATTTATATCTATTATCTATATATTTGTTATTACACTTATCATGGACGTTCTCAATAGCAGGGTCGTGGACTCGAATGAGTACATAACTGAAATTTTGAGTCTTGATTCCAAAAATTTCGGCACACAAATCCTCATATTGAATTTAATAGTGACCTTTCAATTCCAGAAATAATTCCCTTGATCCTTGAATTAAATCGTATAGGATCCCAAATCCCTCTTATGATTCATGACTCAGAGAATGAGCTTCCGACGCAGGAAACGGCGAAAAAAGCTAGTTAATCTAGTAGATCAAATAACGAGAGTACCTTAATAAAGATGTTGATAAACAAAACACGGAACCTTCGCGACCCGAATAATTTGTCTTATTACTACAAATACTGCATATCCACTATTATTCTACCTTTTTGTACTAACTTGTTTTCGAAACCTTAATTAGTAGAGGTGTTAATCCTTAGACTTGTGCAAAAATAATAAGTTTGGCGAGTTAGTGCTTAATAAAGATGTTGATAAACAAAACGGAACCTTCGCGCCCCGAATAGTTTGTCTTAGGAATACTGCAGATCCACTATTATTCTACCTTTTTGTAGTAACTAGTTTTCGAATCCTTAATTACTAGATGTGTTAATCCATAAACTTGTGCAAAAATAATAAGTTTGGCGAGTTAGTGCTTAATAAAGATGTTGATAAAGAAAACGGAACCTTCGCGCCCCGAATAGTTTGTCTTAGGAATACTGCAGATCCACTATTATGCTACCTTTTTGTAGTAACTTGTTTTCGAAACCTTAATTACTTAGAGGTGTTAACCCATAGACTTGTGCAAAAAGTTTGGTTTGTCGAGTTAGTACGTGCTTATCGTTAAGTGAAAACCTGACAATAATCTTAACGTAGCTGAGTAAAACAGAATGCCTTTGATGATTTTCATGTACTGAGCGTTCTCACGTACTCTTCTAACTATTTCCCTAGAAATAATGACAAAGTGCATGCTTACAATATTATTTATACGTACTTACGTCACTATCAAACAACACTTATTCAATACGTACATATACACGAACTAAGTACAATATATAGATTAGAAAAGAGTAGATGGATAATAAATTRCTCATTGGTGCATATTCATACATGATTGAAGGTATGTATTGTAGTCCTTACAGAGGTAATTAACATTTGGAGTTTACTAGATTTAAGAACCGACTTACAACAATTCATCATTTCGATTACGTGTCTTCCGAGCCATACTTTTATGCTATCTTAGGTAAGACGAATTCCCCCCACATAATTTAGTTTAAAAAAAAGACTATTGAACTGGAAAAAACTGTACAACAAGTTTTGCGCGAGCACCTAGATATATGTATTTGAATGATACCTATATTAGATATATACTAAACTAAGGTTGCCCTTAAGGCTAGACTGAATAGATAAMTAATGTATTGATAGTGCTACCATATATGCTATATGCGATAATGTTAAATTGGTGATTCCTCGCCAGCGCACTCGCCTAAAACCTCCCAAATATACGGTTTATCATTCCGCACTCATTCAATCAGAGCATAATATAAACACAATGGGTTCGGCTTAAAGGATCTGATAAGAGATTACGAGCGCAAACAAATCAAGTCGATCGAGCGCGCGTATCTCAACAAGCCGCAGACAGCAAGCTAACCGGAATTCGATCACTTGCAGGTGGACTCCAAAGAGTGAAACCAGTTAAATCAGCCGCAGTACAGATTCCGAGGACGAAAAATGTCATCTGCGACGTCTACAAGCACGTGGGAAAATGCTTCAAAAGCTGTTGTGATGAACGCTACTGGATACAACATGAGTGACTCTAAGATCCAAGAAATTTCCTTTGAACCTCTTTACGACTCTTGCCTGATCATCTTGGCTGTACTGATCATCGCTATCAATATTCTCATTCCTGTGTTATTTATTCGCAACCGAGTGCTCCGCACTAAAACAAATATGCTCCTAGTGAGCTTGGCTATAGCCGATTTAGTGACTGGTTTGCTTGGAATCCCGATGAGCATTGCCTGCAATGCCTTTATTGAATTTCCATCGCTTACAGGTCTTTGTATTACAGCAGCTGTGACCTACCGTTTCATAGCAGTCTCCACTATCTTCCATATTTTTGCCATCACCATTGAACGCTACATCTCAGTTAGTTACCCATTTAAATACGTRTTTTGGGTGCAAATGAGTCGAGTACGGGTGGTGATTGCATCCATTTGGATTGGATCGCTGTTGATGGCATTGGTTCAACTAAGCTGGCAGAATTTCTCAGACTTCTCATCGGAAGACCCGATCAAAGTCAAGGCAGGTATCATATACAACGGTATTGGGATTATAGTTTGTTTTCTTGTGCCTCTAGTAGTGATGGTTTTTATTTATTGCCGAATGTTCATGATTATAAGGAAACAGCTTGATCACATGAAAAAGCTAAGTCCATCAGGAAATAACGAAAACTGCAAGCCACTCTCTACAGAAAGACGAGCAATCACRATCTTTGCTCTGATGCTCGGCATCTTCACCATGAGCTGGCTAACCTGGTACATGTCAATWATCAGTGTATACACACGGAATGCAGAGATTATCAGTATGCCCGAGAGATGGTACGACTTCTTCGACTTTTTACGTTTTTCTACTTCTTTTATCAACCCATTGCTCTACACGTTTCTAAAGCATGACTTCAGAGATGCGTTGTTTTCTCTCCTGTTTTCCAAATCTAAACAACGAAAATCTGCAGAACATCGAACAAATAACGCGAATCTGACAATGGCGCCTTTGGCTATGCTGAGGTCAAAGTATAAGTCGGACAATAGTTCTCCAGAAGAAAGAAAAATCTTAGACAATGTTTAGAAAATATCAAGCGACCTTGTTTATTTGCTTTTAATGTTAAGATATATTCATGCGTGGTTATGATTTGTTTGTTTTCTCAGTGGCTAGCGGAATAATTGTAGTGTGACTCAAAAAGCCAGAAGTGACTTTTCACGACGGATATTTAAAGCGGGGTAAATTGTTAAGACTGCGAAGCTTATATTTTTCAAAACTAGTACCAGAAAAGTGAATCAAATACAGCGAGCATCAATACTTAATCTCAATCGACATGATATTGATTTTATGCATTACGTCATACTTACAGCTGGATGTCGTCTTTCACATGTATCAGGAATCTGCTGCCTACTTTGCTATCATTCGAACACAGAACCTTTGGCAAATTACGCTCATTTGATTCTGTTGTAAATTCAAATGAAAAACAGTTTGGCTAACTTCGTTGCGTTTGTTTCTCGTTACGAGAAAGGAAAATTTATCGAGGTAGAACCAAACAGCTCAACCAAAATAATATTATTTAAGTATTCTGGCATCGACGTATGTACGTTCAGTATATTTGCCCATTTGTCATGCATGCTTTCCCACTCTTTTAGAGCAGTGCAAACTAACAAACCTAGTTACGTGATGAGGTCGACAATTACTTAGCGGAAACACAATAYAAAATATTCTACTAAGGCTATAAATTTTATTTTAGCTTATATATTTGACCTCATGATATTATTCTGTTCTCGTTCGACGCAACAAAAATAAGTACGTTTTTYGAATTGGTATCAGTGTGGTTTTAATCTTTATTCCAATAAACTGCCAACTCCGATCACAGATGAAACGGAACTTTAAAATTCCTAATTATGTTGGCTACAATGCTGTCATGCTGAAAACGTGAACGACAAATAATCATTTCTATTCTCGATCAATAAGTATACTCTGCGTGTTCCTTATTACAAATCCTTAATGCTTTATCTATCACAACACCTATATCATCAAAGCAAGTGATTTCTAACCGTTTAGTTAYCTCGCATGATCTCGTTATATCTCTGGGAAACGGCTCTGAGTCAAAATAATGTTTGCAAGGCTAGAAATGATTTTATAATGTTGAATTCACTGATTAGATAGATGACATAAGTGGAATTAAAACTGAYGAACGCTTCAGTGTTTGATCGAAAAAAGATGATCAGCATTCACCGAAATTATTATCAAAATTATAAACTATTTCATTTCATGTCGTTTCTTTTCTCTATCGATCGTCTTCTCTTCGATTGGTATCACTTATCTCCCTATAATAACCGCCCTCCACCTTTTTATATTTATATACATTTTTCTTTAAATAAAGCAAACATCTCCGCCGATGCATCAATCATTTAGAAAARAATTTCGCACACGCCTATAAATCGACCAAACTGAACGACTCATTKTGACAAATTTTTAATCATATCTAATTTGGCAAGAAACAGTATGAGAGGGCTCCAAAAACCAGTGAATAAATTAATAATTCTTCTTAAGTAAAAAATTTGCGTCTTAAATCCAGAGAAAGTATTTTTTGCTCATTTTGTTTGCAATTGCCAAAGTCGTTCTYTCGTCTCTTGAACGATAATTATTATTAAAAGGAGATTCATTATTCAACGTTTTTCATCTCCTCCTAAAACCTCATTGTTTATTTTTAATTAGAAGGTGAAGGATCCCCAGAAGTTTCAACTAATGGTTTGCGGTGGGCTTTGTATCTGATTCGATGGATTACTGATTGAATTTGTGATAGAAAAACACTAAGATATTTTGATAAAGGACACGTATTTTGAGAAAACGAAACACATAGCACCTGTGATTTGTTTACTCATACCATAAGACTTTTTAAAGTGTGTATAACAAAATCAGTATCCATGCAGCTTGATTAAAAATAGAACTCGATACTTGAACTGGAAGCGTAAAAACGAGAGGAGAGGAAAACATCTTAAGCTTGTCTGTCTAGAAGCAGTATAATAATTAGTATAATGAATCTGAATCCTGGTTGGTCGAAAGGTTGAACCAATAAGCGTTTATCGATGGATAAACTGGTGTTCTGATTGCAATCAAAATATCATGACTTATTGAGGAGTTTTTCAAAGATTCCTTTCTGACTAAAACAGTATCCTGTATTTTCCGTATGCTAAGGTCATATCAATCTTTATTGCCCTCGGCTCCGAAGTCCTGATAAAACACTCCTACTCGTTTTTTAAACACCACATATAATATAACATAACATAAAAGTCCTGATAAAACACTCCTACTCGTTTTTTAAACACTACTTATTATC